TGACGAGGACGTTTATATTCATGTCATTTATATTATAAGTTTGTGCCAGAGGACATATATATATATATAAATGTATAACTTAGTAGTGTGAGGCTGTGTGCCTAGTGTTTCCTCACTATTATATTAAATATTGATGAAGTGATCTATATATATATATATATATATATATATATATATATATATATATATATATATATATATATATATATATATATATATATATATATATATATATATATATATATATATATATATATATATATATATATATATATATACTGGAGTTATTGAATAGTGCGTTCATATGTATGGTGATTTATGGTGTTGATGCCAGTGTAGTGAGGTACTGTGATCATGAAGGGATAATAGGCACCTCACACCAAAATACTGTGAGTACAGTGAATATTGTGAAAAGCGAGCAGTGTCAGTATGGTGAGCAGAGCGAGTTGCCAAGCGTTCGATAACACTGCATTTGGAGCGTGGGAATTGCGCGACAGCAGAGAGTGTTGCCATTCCTGTGTGTTCCAGAATTGTGAAGAGGCAAAGAGGAGGCTGCGTTTGTTCCTTTACACTGTTGTTGATCCAGAGATATGATTCTTTAATCTTTTAAGTAAACTACAAAACCACCTTCGTGTTTGTGTTATCCCTCCATTACTTTGTTGCTATTGAGACTTTATAAGAGAGCGAGTGATTTAAATAAATACTTACCTGATACCAAATTGATTAGTGTTCTATCGGCCTACTACTATCACTACTATATTACTATTCCACTGAGGTGTTACTGTTATATATATATATATATATATATATATATATATATATATATATATATATATATATATATATATATATATATATATATATATATATATATATATATATAGTTATTGAATGGTGTTAGTTATTGATTTATGGTGTTGATGCCAGTGTAGTGAGGTACTGTGATCATGAAGGGATAATAGGCACCTCACACCAAAATACTGTGAGTACAGTGAATATTGTGAGAAGCGAGCAGTGTCAGTATGGGATATTCTATTTGATAAGATATATTCTTCTATTTGGGAATGCATGCCTAGCATTACCGCCCAGGAGAGACAAGTCATTAGCAACCCGCAGGACGACCAACAATAACTCATCTGAGAACCACAAAATGAGAGCACAGATCACCAGGAAAATAGAAGAGGGCAATACCACAGGTGCCATCAGAATCATGACCAGCGATGACACTATTGCCCCCAGGAACGCCACGACAGCAGAGGCTCTTCAAGACAAACACCCACCCAGAGCCCCCGACAGCTCTGGATCAGCAGAGGATCCCCAGGAAAACAATGCTGGCATAGAACCCTTGACTGTTCGAGAATCTGAGGTGTACAAAGCAGCCATGTCTTTCCCAACAGGTTCAGCAGGGGGCTTTACAGGCCTAAGACCCCAGCACACCAAACAAATGCTGAACCCGGTGCTTGGAGATGCTGCAAAGGACCTTCTAGTGGAACTTACCAGATTCTCCAACATGTGTTTGGCTGGCGGCATCCCTGAGGACATCAGGCCTGTCTTTTATGGAGCAGCACTCTGTGCTCTAAAGAAGAAGGATAGGGGTATCAGGCCCATTGCCGTTGGCAACACCCTCCGACGCCTTGTAGCTAAGGCTGCAGTGAGATCTATCAGCCAGGAAGCAGCCATCTTGCTGAAACCTCATCAGCTCGGGTTTGGGATTCCCCTAGGTTGTGAAGCTGCAGCACATGCAGCGCGGGCTTACATTGCTGATCTCCCGGACCAGAAGGCACTAGTAAAGCTTGACTTCAAAAATGCCTTCAATCAAGTCAGACGAGACGCTGTCCTCAGGGCTGTACACAACCATTTCCGTCCCCTTTACCCATTCATCCGATCGTGCTACAGTGGGGACTCTAAGCTTCTTTTTGGGGAGCATGAAATAAACTCCTGTGAAGGTGTCCAACAAGGTGACCCCTTAGCCCCCCTCCTTTTCTGCCTAGCTATCAAAGAGGTCACTGATAGTCTGACAAGCGAGCTAAACATCTGGTACCTGGATGATGGCACTCTCGCTGGAACCCCGGAAACCATTTTGGAGGATATAAGGAAAATCCAGGAGCAGGGAGCAGCCTTAGGCCTCATTCTCAATGCATCCAAATGTGAAATAATCTCCCGCAACCCAGACATCACTGGGCAAATACAAAATGTTCTTCCAGACATTCTCGTTGTCGAGCCACCGGACTGCACTCTCCTGGGTGCCCCCATTGGCCCACGAGCAATCGAGGAGGTCCTGGCTGCAAAAATCACTGACCTAAAGAGAATGCTGGACAGGATTGACAAGATTGATGCCCATGATGCTCTCTTTCTCCTCACAAGATGCCTGTCTCTCCCTAAGTTGACCTACTTTCTGAGATGTTCTCCATCCTACAGCAGCCCTAAGTTAAATGTGTATGACACCCTTCTGAGGTCCATGCTGGTGAAAGTCCTGAACCTGCCATTGGACGACTCTCAGTGGGAGCAAGCAACCCTTCCTGTAAGACTCGGCGGCCTTGGTGTCCGCACAGCCTCCCAAATTGCTCTACCAGCCTTCCTTTCCTCCTCTCATGCATCGCACGACCTCGTCAGAGATATTTTACCTGCAACCCTGAGAGATTCAGCAGGAATACACGATCCTGCTTTCACTGAATGTTCAAATCAGTGGGATGTTCTTGCAGCCCCAGCAACCATTATAGAGCCAACAAAACAACACAAACAGTCCGGCTGGGACCACCCTCTAGTGGAAAAAGTAGCTGATGCCATGCTCAGCGTCGCAACATCAGACAAGGAGAAAGCCCGCCTCAGAGCAGTGCGTGCCCCCCATGCAGGAGACTTCCTCCTGGCAGTACCCATGTCAGCAATGGGCACGCGCCTAGATCCAGAATCCCTTCGTGTAGCAGTGGCCCTCCGCCTTGGTGCCCCAATTCACACTGAATACAAGTGTATTTGCAACAGGGTGGAAGCAGACCAATACGGACTGCATGGGTTGCATTGCGGAAGCACAAAGGGCTGGCATGCAAGACACAGCGAGGTCAATGACATCATCAAGAGAAGCCTCGTCTCAGCTGGGTGCCCAGCGGAGAGAGAACCTCGCATCCTAGGGGTCCAAAACCCGGATTTCCCCGCACTTCGCCCTGATGGCATCACCATATACTCATGGAAGGAGGGTAGACAGTTGGTGTGGGACTACACATGTGTATCCACCCTGGCTGACACCTATGTACACTTCGGAGCTGATCAAGCAGGTGGGGCGGCCAACCACAGGGAAACAGCAAAATCACTCAAGTACAGGCGACTGGAAGGTCAATACCTCTTTGTTCCCATAGCGTCTGAGACGCATGGCCCATGGGGCAAGAGTGCCTTGGGATTTCTCAAGGAATTGGGTTCCAAGCTCATTGACGTCACCAGAGACCCAAGGGCTTCCAGTTTTTTGTTTCAGCGTCTCAGTGTGGCGATCCAGAGGGGAAATGCTTGCTGCGTCCTCGGTTCCTGTCCAGAAGCGGAGGAGCTTCAAGAGATCCATAACCTTTAGGCATTTGTCTTGTATGTTTTGTAACCTTTAAATACACAATAAAGGAAAAAAAAAAAAAAAGGGAAGGGGGTGGTAGGAGAAAAGCACACAGAAACTGTATTGGAGGGGACCTACATTCCCTCCAATGCGTTATGTGTGGTTTCCTCCGAGGCTATGGGTCCCCCTTCTTCCAGCCAGAGGTGGTACTCCCTTCCCTATTTTATATATATATATATATATATATATATATATATATATATATATATATATATATATATATATATATATATATATATATATATATATATATATATATATATATATATATATGTGTCGTACCTAGTAGCCAGAACGCACTTCTCGGCCTACTATGCAAGGCCCGATTTGCCTAATAAGCCAAGTTTTCCTGAATTAATATATTTTCTCTAATTTTATTGGAGTTAAAACTAACGTAGATATATGACCGAACCTAACCAACCCTACCTAACCTAACCTAACCTATCTTAATAGGTTAGGTTAGGTTAGGTAGCCGAAAAAAGTTAGGTTAGGTTAGGTTAGGTAGGTTAGGTAGTCGAAAAAACATTAATTCATGAAAACTTGGCTTATTAGGCAAATCGGGCCTTGCATAGTAGGCTGAGAAGTGCGTTCTGGCTACTAGGTACGACATATATATATATATATATATATATATATATATATATATATATATATATATATATATATATATATATATATATATATATATATATATATATATATATATATATATATATATATATATACACTTGAGCACCACCTCAAATTTGTCCCTATTGCCTCAGAGACACTTGGTGCCTGGAGTAAAACTGCTGCTAGCTTATTGAAGGAGTTGGGGTCCAAGCTAATTGAAACAACTAGAGACCCTATAGCTGCCAGTTTTCTCTTTCAGCCCCTTAGTGTGGCGATCCAGAGAGGAAATGCTCACTGCATCCATGGTTCCTGCCCGCCATCTGAGTAGCTGGAGCAGCTATACAACTTGTGACAAATAGCTCTGTACCCTGCATGTAACCAATTTTGTAACTTTTTTGTGTAATGACATTTTCAAATAAAGTTAGATATATATATATACACACATGCCAAAAGAATAGGGGTGGTAGAGGAAGAAAATATCAAAGTGTTCCGTGAGGATCCACAAGGTCTTCTCTGAGTACTCTGAGTACTCTTTATTTTCTTCTCCGAGGCTATGGGTCCCTACACTTGCACCCGAGGTGGTACCCCTTCTAGGTTTGATTACATATATATATATATATATATATATATATATATATATATATATATATATATATATATATATATATATATATATATATATATATATATATATATATATATATATATATATATAATATTTATCTAATTAGAGAACGACATATTTTTTCACTTCTATTCTTCAATTGCATAGTGATTAATTGCGTTTACGTGACAGGTACAGGCTGTCCGTCGGAGACATTTGGGTTGCTAGCACTTTGCGTGACGACTTGGCATACAACAACCAAATGGCCTTCACTACTTTAGACCGTGACAATGACAATAACAGTAAGTGGCAGAGATATTGTTGTTGGCAACCCTTCGTTTTATGAATAATGTATGTATTTATTTAATGTTTCAACATTGACTGCAGGACAAGGATGATAATGAACAAACAACTGTGGCTAGTGAGACACATCTCACCAAGTTAGTCTCAACATCCACCAATTACAATCTGCCGTGTGTTTTCAAGTTTACATGGGTTATCTATAATTGCAAGCATTTTTGTCATCTAGTTTCCAAGAGTGGGATGTCCTGTTCAAATTAAAAAAAATAAAACAAGGCAAGCCTCCTTGGTCAGACGAAGTATTTTCTATGGTGCCAAAAGAATGTCATGAAGTGCTTTGTGAGCCTTTGTCTTGCATATTTAGCAAACCATCACAGTCGAGCAAAGTATTATAATCGACGAGGATTTCAAATGTCGTGACGATTTTTAAGAAGAACGTAGATCACTATTGCTGAACTTCATCCCATTTTAGTGTAAAGCATATTGTAATAATGTTTAAATCAATAATCGTGAAAGGTCCTCGTATATATCTTGACAACCACTGATTAATAAAGGAATCACAAATTGGCTTTACATATGAACATAATAATTAAGGAAACTACAGGAGTCTTTTTTGGCCATACGAGGCAGCTCCTATCTATATCACCCAAACCCATTATTATAAATGGACGTAAATTCCCTTGAACGAGTTCAACGACAAAAAAAGGTTAGTTTACATTCTCTAAACAGGCGAAGGGTTCAGGGTGACAAAAGTGAAGTATACAAATGGATGAAAGGGTGTAACAAAGAACATATTAATAAGGTGTTAAATGTGCCAAAGCAAAATGGAACGGAAAAAATGGATTAACTCTTCAAACAAGCAAGTGATCCTAAAGGTTTCATTGTAAATTATTTCATAGATTAACAACTATATTTCTATAACAGTATTTATCCAGGTCTGTATTGAATCTAAACTTATCCAATTTATATCCATTTTTTTCCGTTCCATTTTGCTTTGGCACATTTAACACCTTATTAATATGTCCTTTGTTACACCCTTTCATCCATTTGTATACTTCACTTTTGTCACCCCGAACCCTTCGCCTGTTTAGAGAATGTAAATTAACCTTTTTTAGTCTTTGAACTCGTTCAAGGGAATTTACGTACAATCTGGTACCTCTTACAGTGTTTTCTCTCGCACAATTTAGCAATGCTAAGTTAAATCTAATTTCGTTATGATCTCAGTTCCTTAAGCGCCAGCTCCCCACTACCCCAGGTGGGTTTGGGCATTCCATATTCCATGGGAGCGTGCGGTAATTCTGAAAAGTGCATACTCTACTTTGTAACTTCAATTCTCGCCCTAAGATATTCAATTTGGTATCAATGGGTTCGCAATAGAATTCTCTAGAGGAGTATATGCATATAAAATAAAAAAACATGGTCACGCTCCACCCGCGGACAAGTTGAAGGCGGGCCACACGCTACCCACCAGGGAGTGCCCAGTCGCCCACCCGCTACACCCCCAGTTCCCGCCCAAATATGTTTAGTATATTTTCCGATTGTTAACATCAATTTTCGTGTTACAGCGCTCATTTTGGTATGAAGTTGTTTCTAATAGAATGGTTTAGATGGATATATGCATATAATGTCAAATTGAAGAACAATATTGCAAATACAATACAATAAAGTGTAAACAACAATATAAACTATGTAAAAAAACTAAAACTTTTTGTACTTACCAATTCAGTGTTGCTTGTGGAGCATAACATGGGTTGAACATTAGTTTTATCCACTCCACCTGCAGCAGGAAAACGTTTCCTGAAGAGTCAACCCATGTTTTTTATAGGTGGAGTGGATAGTGGGCAAGCATTGCTGCTTATCAACCCAGAATTGTTTCATGCAATGGTATATGGTGTAGCATGGTCCAGGACACAGTGGCACATCACACGTCTTGCACTTATAGTGTGTGTCCCTTCTTTTACCAAACATTCTGCAAACACGACACCTCAGACGCTTCTGTATCGTTACTTGGGCATGGGACAAGTTTCTGTTGAAACGTTCTGGATTATCCACAGAGTTACAAGATATTAGATGGATTATCAACAATACGGGCTCTTTTCGTAGCAGCAACACCACTAGGGATAATCAGCCTCTCGTCTTCTAACTCAGACGATGAAGGTACAGGTACAGGTGAAGTGAATAGCGGGCACCTCACACTTGATGGTCCTGGTGTTGAAGGTCCTGGTGTTGATGGTCCGGGTGTTGAGGGTTCTGGTGTTGATGGTCCGGGTGTTGAGGGTCCTGGTGTTGATGGTCCGGGTGTTGATGGTCCGGGTGTTGATGGTCCGGGTGTTGAAGGTCCTGGTGTTGATGGTCCGGGTGTTGATGGTCCGGGTGTTGAGGGTTCTGGTGTTGATGGTCCGGGTGTTGAGGGTCCTGGTGTTGATGGTCCGGGTGTTGATGGTCCGGGTGTTGAAGGTCCGGGTGTTGAAGGTCCTGGTGTTGAAGGTCCTGGTGTTGATGGTCCGGGTGTTGAAGGTCCTGGTGTTGATGGTCCGGGTGTTGATGGTCCTGGTGTTGATGGTCCGGGTGTTGATGGTCCTGGTGTTGAAGGTCCTGGTGTTGATGGTCCGGGTGTTGAAGGTCCTGGTGTTGATGGTCCGGGTGTTGATGGTCCTGGTGTTGATGGTCCGGGTGTTGATAGTCCTGGTGTTGATGGTCCGGGTGTTGAGGGTTCTGGTGTTGATGGTCCGGGTGTTGATGGTCCTGGTGTTGATGGTCCGGGTGTTGAAGGTCCTGGTGTTGATGGTCCGGGTGTTGATGGTCCTGGTGTTGATGGTCCGGGTGTTGATAGTCCTGGTGTTGATGGTCCGGGTGTTGATGGTCCTGGTGTTGATGGTCCGGGTGTTGATGGTCCGGGTGTTGAAGGTCCTGGTGTTGATGGTCCGGGTGTTGATGGTCCGGGTGTTGAAGTTCCTGGTGTTGATGTTCCGGGTGTTGAAGGTCCGGGTGTTGATGGTCCTGGTGTTGATGGTCCGGGTGTTGAAGGTCCTGGTGTTGATGGTCCGGGTGTTGATGGTCCTGGTGTTGATGGTCCGGGTGTTGAAGGTCCTGGTGTTGATGGTCCGGGTGTTGATGGTCCTGGTGTTGATGGTCCGGGTGTTGATGGTCCGGGTGTTGAAGTTCCTGGTGTTGATGTTCCGGGTGTTGAAGGTCCGGGTGTTGATGGTCCGGGTGTTGATGGTCCGGGTGTTGAAGGTCCTGGTGTTGATGGTCCGGGTGTTGATGATCCTGGTGTTGATGGTCCGGGTGTTGATAGTCCTGGTGTTGATGGTCCGGGTGTTGAAGGTCCTGGTGTTGATGGTCCTGGTGTTGATGGTCCGGGTGTTGAAGGTCCTGGTGTTGATGGTCCGGGTGTTGAAGGTCCTGGTGTTGATGGTCCTGGTGTTGATGGTTCGGGTGTTGAAGGTCCTGGTGTTGATGGTCCGGGTGTTGAAGGTCCTGGTGTTGATGGTCCGGGTGTTGATGGTCCGGGTGTTGAAGGTCCTGGTGTTGATGGTCCGGGTGTTGATGGTCCGGGTGTTGAAGGCCCTGGTGTTGATAGTCCGGGTGTTGATGGTCCGGGTGTTGAAGGCCCTGGTGTTGATGGTCCGGGTGTTGATGGTCCGGGTGTTGAAGTTCCTGTTGTTGATGGTCCGGGTGTTGAAGGTCCTGGTGTTGATGGTCTGGGTGTTGAAGGTCCTGGTGTTGATGGTCCGGGTGTTGATGGTCCGGGTGTTGATGGTCTGGGTGTTGAAGGTCCTGGTGTTGATGGTCCGGGTGTTGATGGTCCGGGTGTTGAAGGCCCTGGTGTTGATGGTCCGGGTGTTGATGGTCCGGGTGTTGAAGTTCCTGTTGTTGATGGTCCGGGTGTTGAAGGTCCTGGTGTTGATGGTCCGGGTGTTGAAGGTCCTGGTGTTGATGGTCTGGGTTTTGAAGTTCCTGTTGTTGATGGTCCGGGTGTTGAAGGTCCTGGTGTTGATGGTCTGGGTGTTGAAGGTCCTGGTGTTGATGGTCCGGGATTTGCAACATTAGCTCCAGTGGCATTTACATCAACAGCATGTGGGATGTCATCATTTTCCTGAGGCTATTTACTAGGACGATAGAACAATAGTGCCGAAATGACTTCTTCGTGGCAATGGAGTAATGTGAGTTCCTTCTATCTGTGGTGTAGTATTTGTACAACACATAAGCATTGTGGATAGCCATTTGCAAAAAATAGGTAATTTTCTTCGTCCATTTGAGACTTTTCCTTGTGAAGTGATAATATTTGACCATTTGGTCAAAGTGATCAACACCTTTCATGTTTGTATTGTAGTCACAGATTGCGTTTGGCTTATTGACAGTGACCTGTTGTACTGAAGATGTTCCATCACGATTATGTATTCGTTTTCTACGTTCAACTTTATGTATATGTGCATTGTGGCAAGTTGTTATGAGTGAAACAACTTGCTTATCTTTCCATAAAATTATGAAAGTATTGCCCTTCCGTTTGAATTCAGTTTTATCAACCGGCAATTTACCCTTTGCTCATATCTAAAGGGTTTTAGGTGCATCACGCTGCATTCTGATGGTATCACAGGTGTATACCCCTACTTCAAGCAGCAATTCACTCAATCGAACCGAATTAACCAGCTGTTTACAAAAGGTGGAGTATTGTCACTACGCCACCCTTCATCAGAACCTGTTGGTTTTGGGGTACGTGCGGTACGTTTGGCTCTGGCACGAGCTCCAGTACCTCGTCATGCATGTGTGGCAGTCTCAACCTCAGGCTCCTCACTTCCATCACTATTAAAATCCTCCTCTGCTGTTTCCGTTTCAATACATTCACTAACTTCATCAGTGTTTGTTTAAACAACACTTTCGTTAATAGATAACTCAGATAAATTATCAAATACAGCCTGAAGATGACCAGACCTGAAAACTTATGACTTACAGCCTGAAACTTAGAAGGTATGAGTCTCTCTCGCTTGTACTTCTGATG